ACCTGCAAAAAGCCTCAGATCTTCTGTATACAGCAGCACACTATAAAGAACACAAGTAAACAACTGATACATAGGAAGGGTTTACAGCTTGCCCAGCTTTGAGTAAGTGTCTACATGAAGCTATGACCTTTTTGAGAACAGGTCAAACCCAATGGTAAGAATCTCTACCTTCAGGGTAAGCACTGTCTGGTATTGTATTGGGGTTTGCAGCAGCAGTGTTGAAAACACAGCTAGAAAGGGGTGGTGGGAAATTCTTTTCTTGTAATCCCACTATCAGTGTGTCATAAACCAGGCATTGCAAATTACACTGTCTTTAGAGATCACTAAATTTGAGAACCTGTCTCTATTCAATATGTACACCAACAGAGCACTATATTAAAGAAAATAGATCAGGTTTACTATTTTCCCCTTAATGACCCTTTCACATTGCATTTTTCTGCATGAATTCAGGACCCTATTTTTAAATATTACAAACTGTAAGTGTTAAACCAAAGAATTCTGGCAAGCTGTAAGGGTTGAACATAAGTTAATTGTAGCTTGCATTGCTAGGATAATGGCAACTTCAGTCAACAAGCCGCTTTTCCATACAAAAACCCAAGTCTATTCTAAAGCCACCCATAAGAAGTAGGTCACCTTGCAACTGGACTGCAGTGAGTTGTACACATTTCAATATTAAATCAATTAGATGGAACAAACAGTAAAAAAAATAAGAAGTAACCATGTACCCCCACTAAGAGGAAAAACAGCACCCATGCCATGAAAAAACCCAACACTGATCAAACACTTCCTTCAGAGACACTCCAAAGGCCTCGGCTCTCCAACGAGGACTACTTTACACATGACATTTTCTCAGATGTGTACACATGTACTAGGTGTTACTGTGCCAATCTGTAAGTTAAGCTGTGTTAAAGATATTTTAAGGCAGCAGTTTTAACGTAAAAGGAAAAGCCAAAAACACTTGGCAAACAATAAAAACAAACTTGCATGTTTAAAGGCAATTATAGTGAAATACCCTATAATCACAGAATTGTATGAAATCAAGGAATAAAGGTTAACATGTTTTGGTTAGTTCTATTTAAAGCTATGTAAATTAAAAGATTTGCTTTATGAGTCCTGATGTAGAGTATTTTCATATACAATTAACTTGCTGAATTGCAGTGAAAACGCTAAAAATATTAGCAAGAATTTATCCACATAGAAATTATATAAAATCTGAGTTTTTCCATTCCAGAGAAGCATAATATTCTAATAAGAACTATCCTAATCTTCACCCAGCAATAATTTCAAGATTATATTATTATTCTCATTTCCTTGAATAATATCCATACTCCAGGGCCATTTTCCCTCTCATATTCAATATCATGCATGCTTGTATCAAGATTCCTTTCTTCATATCCTGTCACAGTATCAATCACTGCCTCCTGTCCACTCAATCCACTTTTGATTTATCAGCCGCCGTCTTTCTGGACTCCATAACTCGACCCAAACCATTTTAGCAAGACATTGACAAATAGCACCCAGTATCACATCAACCTGTTCCACTTAGTAAACTAAGAAACAGTAACTGTGACATCTCTGCATAAGTATTCCATTCTATTCCCTAGACTGATGTATATTAATGAGGAGATGGTATTTGAAATGCTTCTTCCACATCAGCATCTAATATGATCAAATTAGGAAATGGGATGATTTATTAAATTTCGTGGAGCTGAAATATTTCTTTATATCACTATATGTGTGGCTTCAGAAAGTGAGCTGTTGCTTTCAATTTTTCTACTGAGGATGTGCCTGCATTTCACAGACGAATTATTGTCTTTAAAAAGATTGCAAGAAGGCGAAATGTTATTAAGCAAATGCTCAGTAAAACAAACTAAATCGGTTTTAAAATTCCTAATTTAATGTAAATCTTGGTTGTTTTGCTGAAATTCAGTTTGTGATCTTATTAAGTCCTATTTGCATTGTACTATCTTGCTGTAGGACAGCTTTAAATTTATAGCATTACTAGGAAGCCCCACTTTTTTTGACTCTAAAAAATGCATCTAAAATAAAATAGTTATAAATTCACAAGTTTGCTTATCTTCTAAAATAAAGTGAAAATCAGTTTAAATTACAAACAATGGCTGCTCAAAATATTTTTAAGAAGTCATTACAAAAAATTAAGTTTTCAAATTAAAACTTGGTATTTCAGTATTTTATTCATTTGGGCATCTGTAAATTATTCACTTAAAAAATAACCTAGACTAGAGAAATTATTAAAAAAAAAAAGATTACATTACAGCCACATATAGTGTTACCAATATTTTCATTACCTTGAAAAACAAACTATCTTAATTTTAGGGAGGACTGGGAGAAGACATTAGATTCAGAATTTGTGCTATTTGCATGACTTAAACAACAAAAAAAATCCAGTGACTTTTTTTAAAGATCATATAATGGATCTTAGCTTCCAATACAAAAATAATTTTCTAGCATTGGTCTGATTCCCATTGGGTAGGGAGGAAATCACAGTCACTCAAGCCCTAAAGGTGGTGCTCTGAGCTACAACAGTAACACTACAAACACAAGTAGCACACAGATGATCTTTATTTTATTGCTCTCTTACTGCTGCTTATCCATTGGGTGTGTAGATTTTACTCCCCAACACTAGCAATTCTGAAGCTGGAGATCAACAATAACAATTTGGTGGGTAAGACACTCTTCACTACACTAAGACAAGGTGGCTACCTGAGTTACTTCTGATCATTTTATTTCATAGTTTACATTATGTAGATTTACATTACATAGTTTACAGTTTATCTTCACTTCTTACCTTTAAAAGTCATATGAAATAAGTTGCCCACCAAAACAAAAGCATTAATGAACAACAGATGCCAAATTCTTATGAAAATTACACTTCAGCACTACAAATGCAGACATTTCACAAGATAAATACTGTCTCTTCGCATTTAACAGCTTCGAATGGATTTTTCTTGTCTGACTTTTTAAATTAATTTCAACTTCTGGTATCCACAACCTCCAACAGCAAAGGCTTCCCCAGCTTGACTATGTGATATGTAAGAACTAGCCGCTTTTGTTTGACTAGGATCTGCCACCAGCTGACTTTGTTCACTTCATGCCTGCCCCAGGTCTTCAGCTGGAGGAGAAAAGAAACACTCATTCCTTAATCATCTTTTCCACATCATTCATTCTTATTTTTGTTTTATACCCCTCCATTATATTCCCTCCTACCCCAGCCTGAAGAACCACAACGTACTCAGTCATTTTAGGAAAGCTGTTCACACCTTCGATCGAGCACACAAGACAGAATTTGAGATAGGAAAGAAGTATTTAGCATTGCTGCAGTTGTCTCAGCACTAACAAACAGGGGAAACACAGGCCTCTAGTAGCAGCTTTCTGCAAGCTATTTAACTCTCCTCCAGAAATAAGATTAATCCATGGCTTCCCAGTGTAGCATTACAGCAGAGAGCAGATTTGGAAAAATTACAATAAAATAATCAATGTGTCCTGTTGGGTTTAGTTTTTATGCTTTTAACATGCCAAAAGAGTCTTCTGTTATAATTTAGGGTGTTATTTATAAATATTTCCCCTGAAGAACCATGTCTGTGAACAGTAACATCACTTAAGGTGACGTGCAGCTATACCTTTGCGGTTATAGTATTGAAAAAGCTGCTGTATTTTACAGATAAAATTTTATCTGCACAATATATCCTAGCATAAAATGAAGTAAACAGTAGTTATATTTTTAAAGTTTTTAAGTGCATAATTTCCATATACTTCAGTGACAATTAACTTCAGTAAACCCCTTTAGACTGTGTCTAATGAGATCTGCAATTTACACTTATTATAATAAAAAAATGCTGAGTATCTGACATATTGAAAAACACCATTTGCACCTTATTCTTGTAACATCTCAGTGTGTTAAAACTGATTTTGTTAGCAGAACAGTGGATATTTACAAGAATATTTCTACACAAAGTGCAGCAGCTTATCTGGGGTCTACAGCTCAGATGGTAAGTATACTGCAAGAGAGATCAGACAGTTAAAATAACCAAAATGCTACTACAAAGGCACTGTAGCAATAAGAGTCCAGGCAACCATTATAATGAACAGCTGTGAATAAGTAATGAGAGAATAACAATAAGAGAAAGTGAAACATCCACGTCTTTGAACAATTTTTCAGCATTTAGAGGCAACAGCTCGTATTTGGTATATGAAAATAACATGTTTTACTAAATTCTTAGTGAAGGTACACAAAATAACCTGGCTGATGATCTCTAAACACGTAGCAAAAAAAACCAACCAAAACACTTTGATCTCTCTGATACACTAAATTCAAGAGAAAATGCTAACAATTATTCTGATATTCAGGTGTCCTGGGTTCAGCCACAACACCAGGGATAAACTTTATTTAAACTTCTTAACTGAAAAATACACACATACAAAAATTGAGCTTCTTTTAATTACAAAAGTTGGAAGCAGGTTTTTATAATACAATTTGCAATATCAGATTAATATTTAAATATTTAAATTATGTTTATTATTGAAAATAGTCATTTGTCACAATCCAATTTGTCAACACTTTCAGCACCAGAGATATCTTTAAATATTAAGAAAAATTTGCATAACTAAATACTCATCTCTTTCCAAAGGAAATACAGATGAGAAAATAACAATTTAGTCTGATCTTCAGGGAGCCAATGTTATGCATGGGAGTTATGGAAATCAGTAATAAAAAAATATTCACAAGAATGTTTCAGATTATTACAGTTAAACCAAGGCGACTTTATTGATGGTTTTTGCACTTGGTCGAATGCAGAATATACAACTTATCTTCAAGCACTGCACAGAGATTTCAAATTAGGAAAGGTTTCAACTGACATATAGAGCATCACTTGCAACAGTTATTTCTGGTATATTCCAAACTCAGTAGCAACATGAAAATTTTAAATAATTGTTTTTATAGGAGAAGTTACAATTATTTTCATAGGAAAGAGTCTTACCTTCTTGTTCTACTTTTTGATCTCGATCTTTGAGACCTGTAGGATTTGCCTCTGCCCCTTGACCGGCTACGACTGCGTTTTCTTCTAGAACCATATGAAGAACTACTGCTTGATCTGTGCCTGCGTCTAAAACAAAATCATGCTATTAGTGTGTGCTTCTTCTAAAAACAAACAAAAAAGGAACGAAACCCCTAATAGCTTACTTAAACTCAAACACAAAATGTGGGGTTTATAATACACAGTAATAAGTAATTCATATGCATACGGGCAATACCTGCCTTGAAGAGCTTATATTCTAAAATATACATTGCTAGACACAAAATGGGTAGACAGAGAAACAGAAGCTAACTGATTTGCCTAAAATCATGCAGTACCTCAAAGGCAAAGCCAGGCACACAACCCAGCTCTCAGTGGTTCTTAGTCCCATGACCAGCTCATTGAAACTCACTTGCCAGTTTATCAAATCTACTGTGGAAGAAACATTTAGAACCTACACTCTCCTTGGGATTTACACAGAAATACGCAGTATGCCAAAGGACTATAACTCCAGCGCTAAAAATTGAATACATAAAGTGTTAACTTCTGCATTGCTACTCTATACAATTATTTCCAGTCATACTAGGTACATACAAAAAATGCAACCATAAAAATGTATTCTAAATTATTTACATACACCTAAAAATATTTTCTGTATATATATAATCTTACAGATTCGTTATCCTAACTTTCACGATATACAGTCTTTGTTCTGCTCTAATGCAGACAGACCTTCCCCCACCCCTTTTCGGTTGTTTAAGGTGTTCTTTTATTTGGTGTTTTTGTTTGGTTTTTGTTGGCTAGTTGGCTTGATTTGCAGGGTTCTCAGGGCTGTAAGTAATCAAAAAAACAGTGTTAATTTATTCTGTTTGAGTTTGGAAGTTTTCTTCTGAGTTCAGTCAGAAGTCAGAAAGATATCTTCTTTTTCCCCCTCACACCCAACTTCCCCATTTCATTTCTTCAAAGAATAAATTCTTATACACAAAGAAAAAAAGGTGAAAGAATAGATACTAAGTACATAAATTAAAACAACTAATCCTAAAGGTGGAAGCTGGGGGAATGATACCTTCAAAGTCTTAATCTTAACATTTCGTCTCCATCTCCTAACAACTAATTAATTAACAATTAAAATTCTTAACAGAAACTCTGTATTTTTGCTTTGATGTTTGGTTAATATTAAAATATAACACCTCATAGAAACACTTCTGCAATTCAGGATGTAGTCAGTATTGCTTGTCTAGCATAAGGAAAGGGGTGCTGTGTTACGTACAGTAGAGCTGCAGTAGTCCATGCTGGAAAAAATACATAGGTTAACTACTAAAACCAGATCTTCATCTGAAAAAGAAATGTACTGTTCTTGTTAAATGAAGATGAAGAACAGTCATCTTAGAGACAGCTGCTTTTGATTCTTAAGGGTCAGGGATAAATCCAGTAGCACCCCAGCGTGTAATGGTGTCTTAACTGCCAGGAGCAAATGCCCTAAACTAAGGGCAAAGCAAAGGTACCAGCCAGATCCTAAGAGCAGACACTTCCGTCTTTTCTGGATTCAATACAAGTCAACTGGTCTTCATCCAGACTCTAATCTCCCTTCAAGCTCCGTTTTTATCTGTGAGATAGCCATGCCTGCAGTGGACTAAAGAGATTCATAAAGCTGCATGTCATCAGCATATTGTTGGCATCAAAGCCCATGTCATCTCGTTGTGTCCCCTAAGGGCTGCATGTAAGATGCTGAGCAGGAACAGAATACAGTGGGGATGGAAATAAACAAATAAGAAACATCCACAACCAGCCAACTTGCCCTTCATTGACACACTCTTCTGCCAACTAAGGAAAGGTCTGTTGGGAGCAGTTTCTAATGTATTTACAGGGCAACTAGACACAGTGAGTATTTCAGCTCCACTTACTAATAATTTGACCACCACCTGCTCAGTTTGACTCCAGTATCACCACAAGTCAGACAAAGAGGTAGCCATTATAGCATACCTGATCTAAAAAAGTCAGGTATTGAAAGGGGCATCTGATGAAGGAAACACAATATTAGGTCACGAAAAAATTGGTAGATATAGCCACATAGATATAGCCATGATCTATGTTAACGAAATGGTGTTATACTGTATAAACTACTATATTATTACTATTATATCGTTAATTATAGTAGTTGAACTATTAGAATAGTTGTTATTACCTAAGTAGTGCGATTTTCAAAAAGAGGTTCCAAATTCATTATTTAGAAGGAGGAGAAAGAAGGAGTTATTTTAATCAGCTGGTTTTTGTTATCTTTGCACCTGCATACATAATGGTTTTATATTCTTGGGTGGGGGCAATGTTTTGTTTTTTTTGTGGTGGTGGGTTTGGGTTTTTTTTTTTCTTTAAATATAAGTGAAAATACTGCCACATCTTCCAAGATTCAGAGCAACCTTTGCTGCAAAATTCCAACCTAGAACTGATTACACATTGGATTCACTACTTCTATCTATCTGCCATAATACGAAAGAGCTCATTTGTAAATAACTGCAACAGACAGTAAATTACTACAAATGCACCTTTTCTCATAAGAATGTGAACGAGATTGGAGATCTCGAGACCGCGACCTTGACCTGGACTTCCTTCCAGATTTTTTACGGCTGTATGTTCTGCTGCCTGAAGAGCTACTTGAAGATGACCGTCTGCGGTGTTTCTTTTTCCTTCTGCTTCTGTTCTCTTCTTCTGTGTCCGAGGAGCGACGTCCCATTTTTAATCTATGCAAAACCAAAAATTCTAAACTGTAAGAAATTCTCATCTACATTATGTTGTTATATACATATTAATACGTAGATAGTGTGTGTGTGCTCACATAAATAAACATAGCATCACACCATTTTAAAAGTCAGCATGTGAATAAAAAATCTGGGTTGCATGCAAAAATAAAAATCAAGATATTAATGTAAAACATCAACAAACTCATGTTACCAAGTAACTTGAAATTTACACTGTCAGCAAATCTGAATTAATTTATTATGGTATGTAATATAGGTTGTAACTTTTTACGAAAGATATTTTGCAACCATTTAAACAGATAAATACACTGATAAAATCATTCTATACCAGAATATATTTTCATTTTAGGTTATTTTTACATTATTGCCTTAGAATTTTTCAGAAATCTGGGGAGTAATGTATATGATACTTCGAATATGTGGTATTTCACTTACACAATCACTACTGCAGTGTCTTTAATATGTTTAATTTACAGCTATAACTGATGATCCATAATGCTTACACAATCAACAGAATTCAGTTTATTAATTTCAGTTACTGATGTAACTCACTTTATCCGGTTTTAAGTTGTACAATTAAATAATATACACTTGTCCTACTTGTCATAATCAAAACATGCACTGAGAAAAAAATTAGAAAGTTATTTTTAAATTTACACTATTTATGTTGATTTTGGTTCTCGGTTTAGATCCATTCAACTTTATATTCCTTTATTCCAAAATCGGAACTATAAATAATAAATTTCAGAAATGTCTCGATTGACAATGTGTTTACTTGGGTAAAGTTTACAAACTTTGATAACAGATTTGTAAACAAACAAGCAATCCAAACACATAAAAAACGCTTACACCAAAACTTGTGTTGAAGCCTGCCATTTATTAATTGTTGCCAAGACTACCATCTTCATTTGACACTCCCAAGTTTTGTTGCTTCACAATTAAAGAATTAAATTCACAATTAAAGAATTAAATTCACAATTAAAGAATTAAATTCACAATTCAAGAATTAAATTCACAATTCAAGAATTAAATTCACAATTAAAGAACAGTTTTATTTCTTGACTTTCCATGCTGCAAATGTGCATAATGCTTTTATACTATTTTTCTGTACCAGAGTTATCAGCCCTGTCCATCCAAGACTTCGGACCCCTTTGCACACACATTTCAGTTAATGGTTAGTAACCCATCCCCTCTCCTCAGGAACAGTTATTTCAAGACTCCCTCACTATTTCTGCACTGGAAAAACAGGAACTCATAACTCTAACATTCGTATCAACAGCTAGATTACAGATATGCCACAATATCGTCTGTCTTTAATGAACACTGAAATATTACTGAAATAGGTCCTCATGTTTCTAGCGTTAACAGGTTGAACTGGTTCATTTTCCACAAACAAAATCCTGCCCTTACTCATGCCTTTTACCACCCTAATCTCCAGGGTAGAGAATGAAAACAGAACAAAAACCAAAATTCACCATTAAGTAAGTTATGCTCAAAATCACAAAAGGTTTGCATAAAAATACTAGTCTTTAGGCCTTTCAGTCAAAATGCACAATAGAGGGAAAAACAATCATGTTTAGTCCTACAAACAACATCTCTTAAACCTACATTTTCACTCTCAGGTTGCCAAGACAACTAAAACTGTTTTGAAGAGTCATAGGTGCTACAGTCTTACAGTGGTGGATCTAAAAACCCACACAGGCATGGGATTTGCAAAGCCAGGGTACTGTGACCAACTTCCCCAAGGAAGACTTACAGGCAGTTACATTCAAAGCACAATAAATATACAGGCACTGCTGCATTTGACAGAATTTGAAGACTATGTCAGGGATGCAGGATGGAAGAAACACATTCCTCCCTCACTGCAAAAGCTTGTCCTAAGGACTACCAAGACCCCCGGGAGCCAGGCAAGGAAGCTACAGCAAGCACAAGTCAAGAGCCAAAGGCACACTTTCCAGGAGGATGTCAAGTTCTGGACCTGGCATCTACTTCAAGGAGATACTTTACTCAACAGCTGTTTAATGCAAAATACAAGACAGTCTCTTAAGTATCTGGATTTTCTTTGATGTTCACTAGAGTTCACTCACTGCCACAATCAAAACAGTAGCTATGTAAACTCACTCCTATGTAGCCAAATCTCTGTGGACTGCAGACAGCTCTTCCACATGCAACTTGGAGCTACCAGTTCCACTCCTCCTGCCAAAAGTGCTTACAAATTAGGTGTTATTAAGCTTTGCTGCAGCGAATCCCTCCATTATTTACTTCACCCTTGATAGTTTCTGTTTTCAGCACTTTAAAATTAGTCCTTCAGCTAACAATCTAAGCAAAACATTTTTGAAATATTCAACTTAAGCCAGCAAAATTTTTGAAGGAGGAACTCCCATGCAAGAGAATTTGTTTTTTAAATTATTTATACCATCTTATAAAAGTTACTCTGCACTGATTTTGAAAAAGACAGAGGCAGTACTTTACTGACTATATTATTGCATTTAACAAACTATAAATTTAATTTATAATTCTGTAGAGGAATGCCAATTTATATCAACACGCCATCTTGTGCAGTCCTTTTATATTTTTCCGCTCACACTAAAAGCCTTACAGAGCTCCAAGCTACTAACAGTTAGTCAACAGCAAAATAAAGCTCTTCAAATATATACTGATTAAACAATCGTCAAATGAACATGAATCCAAATCTCAAACTTAAAGCAAGCCGAACCGCTGGGAAAGCTGAAACTACAATGTACAGGTTTTAAGTTAAAAGCTCACAGACCACAGCTCATGTCAGCAAGGTTAATGAAAAAGACCAGAGAAAAAAGGAGTACAAAAAACATTTTGGCTGAAATATTTGCCACTTCATGAGGATATCATTATGAGCCAGAACACTACACTTCAACGTATGTATCTTCTGCTGTCTAACTTCCTTTTTTTCTATCAGCTTTCTTCCCCATTCTTCCCCATTAACTGGGTTAAGCAGTGTACAGAACTAGTGAAACATGCTATGTAAGTCTCTACTTCATGCTTTCAGGACCAAAGAACTACACACCATGGCCCTTCTCTATTACAGAAGTCCTACAGCGTACTTGAGTCTCAGGAGCAACCCGAGCACTGGGCTTACCATGGATAAGCTACAAGACAAAGGCACATACGTGACTGATGCCATGCATGTTCCAAAGTTTCTACTGGAAAAGAGGCTGCCAGAAGCAGATTGTTGATCATGGAACAATTTGCACAGCTGAGACCTAGTAGCTGTCTCCTATGGGGATATCTTGGAAGCACAGAGGCGACAGACAACTTTGTCTGACAGGCACTATCTTTCACCAGGGTCTTTAGACATTTTCCTGCAAAGACACCTCTTACAAACAAAGCACTTGAGCACAGTCAATTATCAAGACTTATAAAAGGTTAGTCTTCTCCCTGACAACTGCCTACTCCCTCCATACTCCTTAACAGACCTGGGAACAGGGATTGCTGGCATTGATTAATCACACCAGGTGAAGACTGATGGACACGAGAGCCATTCTGGTGGGTCAGCAGTGGTCCATATACCACTTCCACAAACGGAACTGTATAATAGCACCCACAGATCATACAGAACTCAGATGACTCTGGGAACCTTTATTAACAAAGTAACAAGGGAAGCAAAGAAAAGGCAAGCAGAAAAAATTAAAGCTTACTACATGGCATCATATGCTGAACCTCATGGGGTTTTACAACCTGTTTCTAACTTTTGAAAGAGAGCAAGTTACACTTAAATAAGTATATGCTCACTGATCTTATCTTGCTCAATCTTGATTCATAGATGTTGGAATTATTTCAAGTGCACAATACATATTTTCAAACATAAGTTTCAAATTATTACTGTATTTACTACAGACTGTAAGAAAATAATACTGGTTATAATTGGTTGGTTTTAATCAGAGGCTATTCTCCAGTAAACATTACTGCAGCAGACTACATCTTGAGCACAGCACCCAATTAAACAATACAACCTTTAGTTACCACAATCAGCCAGAAGCAATGAAGACAAAATAACCTCCACATTTGTTTAGCATCAAATCCAAACAATTTATGTTTACCAGTTATCAAGAAACTTTGATTATAACTGACTCACGATAACCACCAACCATTAACCCACTTTATGCAGGAGCTCTACAAACAAGATCCTTTGAGGAGTGTAAGTTAGAACAAAGGTAATATACATTTACAAGTTAGAATATAGGTTAGAAGGGTATTGATGAAAACTATACTTCAGCTATCTCAATATCCCCCTTTTTTCCTGCTGAACTATGTGAGTCCATTTATAAGAGAGAATCAACAAGTCAGGAGGAGATCCTATGTGAACTTCAGCCAGGAAACAAAGCTAACTGTAGTAAAAAGTCAAACAGGCTCACTAGCTAATAAGGGGCAGTCAAACTGTTACTAACGGCAACACTGCTACTCAAAACAGGGAAACCATAGGGAGGCAGAGGGTAAAAGTCCCTCTCAGATAGCCTGTATATAAATGAAAGATTCTTTGTATCTACCTTCACCAAGGCTGGAGTTAGGTGGAAACTGTCCCTGCTCTACAAGTCAGAAAAACTGCCCCCAGTAGAGGAAGAGATTTTATTAAACAATAAGGTGGCTGCTCTCAACAGGTCAGTCACCTGAACTGTTCTTGTTGATTTTGCGTACTTAGTCTGCAGTGCCTCTTTCGCTCATCAAGTTTCCAGATCACTACAGGAAGAACACCTGAATTGCATCTACCAAGAGTAGCTAGCTACCTCAGAAGAAAGTTTAGAGATCAAAGAACCATAGGAATTCATCTACTTTCTTATGGGTTCTCCCATAAGAACAAGAATCCACAGGCACCACACATACCAGAATACTGTCTTCTGGTTACAAAAGTCTTCTCTGACAGTTACATCAGCAGTATTTTTCAAAATCGTTTATTTTGAGCTCAAAGTTTGCCTCAATTCAAAATCATGAGCAAACAATTTATCCATAATCACCCTAATTCAGCTTCAAATCTTTACCTTTTAAAGTGGGAAAAAAAATAGGCTCGAAAATACACGACATGCCCATGGCCATCCATTAGATCAGCAGCAAAGTGGGGAGCTGAACCAAAATCTCAAACACCAGTAAGATGCTCATCTATTAGGAGACCATCTTCACAGGCCACCTTTGCTCAATAATTCTTAATTTTAGAAACTGGCCTTCTACCACATAACTACATTTTCCATACTTGAAGACAGTAAAAACTACAAACATTCATATTTTAGATCACCCAAGTTCACTAAGGGCATTAATTAATCAGCATTTCTTCCACATAAGCAACTTTCAGAATAAGTTTACAGAACAGCCAAGTTTACATGAACTTTATGATGCAGCTTTTGGTATTTCTTTTGAATCAAGTTCTAAATACCTTTATCACTTGTTGAACGTAGGATCATGCTATCATGAGGTATAGGATTCATGCTAAAATGTTAAAAATAACATGTTTAAAATTTGTCCCAGAACTTTACAACAGATTAACTGTTCAAAAAGGGTTTCATTTATATCAGGGGACAGAGGCAGAGAGAAGCACCCTATTTGTATTTAGCTGAAATATAAAATGAAAATATCTAAAACCACTGCTACTGGAAACAGTGCATCACATACAGGAACAAAACAAATACAAACAAAAAAAAAAATCAACCCCAATTGCATACCTTCGTTACCTATGCTTTCACAGGCAAAAGCTAAGAAATTAAGATCCTAGATGAATGACTTCCACATCCACAAATCAAAGAGTTAAAAGTTTCATGGGCAGATGAGCAGGTGCCAGGGACCGTAACATCCCAGGAAGTACGTGCTCCTCATTCACATCAGCTGGGCTCTGGTAGCATACAGCAAGGGTAAAGAGACTTGAAAAAGACCAGGAAGGGAACAGCTACTAGTGCCCTATGCCAGTTTCCGACAGAAACAGACTGTGTCAGTCTCACACGTGTCAGAAACACAACCAGACCCAGGACAAACGCGCCAGGCCTCGGCTCTGCCGGTCTGTGGCACCGCTCCTCTCTAACGCTGCTCCCGCGTTACCCCTCACACGCGTCGAGAGGCCGCTCCTGAAAGACACGGACACATATATGATCGGGCTGATGACCTCAACTGGTTCCGGCTCTTCCCGCAGCCCCACAAGAGCTCAGCAACGCCAAACCGCGTGAACCCGAGCCTTTGACCACCGGAGACCCCACCGCCAGAGGGGAAGGCCGCGAGATGAAACAACCCCCACCATTTTCACGCCTACAGAGCTCCGCAACACGACGGGAGCCAGTCCTGCGGCCCTGCCAGCAGCCCGGGGAGGGTAGGCCGTGGCGACGCGGCGTCGCCGCCGCCATGGCAATAACAGGCAGGCCAGCCATACCAACCCCCACTGCCCCTTCACCTCAGCCAAGAGCGATCGCAGCCCTAAGGGCCAGCAGCAGCAGCAGGCTGCAGTGAGCGCCCGGCCCCGCAGCTCCCTGCCTCGCCCCTGCTAGGGATGGGCTCGGTGCCGGGCCCCACACGTTACCTGAGTGAGAGAGCTGCCGGGCTGGGTCGCGGGAGGGAGGGCGCTATAAGGCCCCGGCTGCCGGTTTGAGCTCAGCGCCTTCCTGGTCGGTGGGCAGGCAGCAGCAAGCCATCGCCGAGCTCATCCAGGCTGCCAGGCAGCGGCGCCGAGCGCCGAGGAATCGATGGAGCATACTCGCCGCATCGGCGGGGCTAGAACCCCACGCACCACGCGTGACGAACAGGGGTCCCCGTTGCCCACGGGATACTACGGAGCACTGCCCGCACTGGGCGCGATGTGGCAACCACAGGCACTTACCAGCACGTTGCCTCTGCACGCTGCAGTTCGCCTCCCCCACGGGTGACGATCTCCGCGGCTGGGAGAGGCGAGGGGACGGCGGCGCGGAGGGTTTCTTGTTTCGGCTGGAAGCGATTAACGAGGGTCGGTGTTTACCAACACTGACAGCCACCCCAGTGGCAGAAGGGGCAGCTTTCCCGGCGCGGCGTGGGTACCGTGCCGAGGCCGGGCTGTGCTCGGGAAGGGAGAGCCCACCCGTGCGAGGCGGGCATGTCCCAGGCAGAGATCAGCCTCCGCCGGGCAACGCCAAGAAACGCAACGAAACAATTTAAAATCTACCGTTAATTCCGGTTTTCTGCGGAATTCTCTTAGTTTAACGCGAGCTTCGGAGCCCGCGACCCCTGGTACAGGAACCGCGAATTGTTGAGTGTGGATAAACGAAACGTAAAGGCGATCGTCTCCCCTTTCAGTCCGATTCCCCCAGCACCCGGCGGTACCGGTTCACCGGCGGCGAGACCGGCTGTGCTGCCTGAGGCGGGGAGACGGCAAACCGGTGCCTATCGCAGCGGAGGCGAGTTTAACTGGATCTGAAGAACCGCTAATTCCAACTTCGCTGTCGTACCTGCCCGAGTAAATAAACTCTGCTTTATGTAAAGTCATCCTCGTAGGGATCAAACAAAAAATCAATGCGTAGGCAGGAGTTAAACAATTTTGAATAATTTATTAGAGTTCTAGCAAAGGTGGGAAAGAGAGTCCTGTCAACAAAAGCGCTCTCTTAATAGGATTTAAACAACAAAAGGAAAACAATATTAGCAATAAATAGCGTAAATCACTCTAATCTGATACCTCAATTCACCGTACGAGCAAACGCAAACTATGAAGCTATATTTATTTGTCACTGCCAATTAGCCGGTCATTGATTGGGGGGATTTGGGCGCCCAAGGAGGAACTTTCCTGCCTCCCCTGAGGTTGCGCGGCGCACCGGGCAGGCTCACTGTGGGGAGGGCGGGGAGGGTTCGGGGGGTTCGGGGCCGCCCCGAACCCCGCGAGGCGGTGCGCGGGCGCGGAGCCTGCGCGCCCCCCCCCTCCGGCCGCCCCCCGCCGTGGCCACTCCTCTCCGCAGCCCCGGCCCCTCTCCCGCGCCGCTCTCGCCCGGGACCTCGCGCCCGGGCCCGCACCTAATTACACTAATTAGGGCGCGGCGGGCGGCGGGCGGGCAGGCGGCGCCCCGGGCGCGGTGCCCCGCGGCGGGCGGCGCGGCCGGGCGGCGGAGAAGGGGTCCATTCAGAGCTCCGAGGGGAGGTAATTCGCCAGGAACAAGGGGCAGGCTTTGCAAAGTATAAATAGTGCCACTTCAATCGCGGCGTCGCTATCAGACCCCGAGAGCCCTGCACGTCGGGCGGCACAGCTCAGTGCGGCTCGGGGCGCCGCCGGCAAGCCCGCCCCGTGGATGCCCGCCCCGGGAGCCGGGGCAGCGTGCCCCTAAGCCACGGCCATGGAGGAGCTGACGGCGTTTGTCTCCAAGTCGTTTGATCCCAAAGCGAAGGAGAAGAAGGAGCTCATCACCTACCGTGAGGTGCTGGAGAGTGGGCCCTTGCGCGGCGGCGGACCGCGGGAGAGCGGCGGAGCGGCGGCGGAGCCGGGCAGAGAGGAAGCGGGCAGCCCCGCGGGGCGGGCGGGCGGCGGGCGGTCCCCGCTGCGGGAGCCCGACGCCGCCGCCGAGAGAGCCGCCGAGGCGGCCACCCCCAAGCTCAGCGACGGTAACGACGGCACCGGGGGCTCCCCTTTTTTCCTTTTCTCCTATCCTGGCTGGGGTGGAACGCGGGCGGTGGCCGCGCACTGGGCTAGGCACGGTCGCGGGTGGAAGGGGCTCGGGCAGCGGCAGCGGGCGTGGGGAAGCTGCGACAGGCGTTAGAGTGCGGCTTCCCATGTTTTCCTAATTACGGGAAATATGCAGCCAGCCCCGAAGTTTATATTAAAATATTTAAACAAGCGTTTAAGTTGCTCGCGACGCGATCTGTTCCTGGTTAGCATCCCGCGGGAAGCCGCTCTGCCAACGGAAGCCTGGATCGCCGGCCCGTTTGTTGTCCCGCGGATGCGAGTGCGGCCGGGCCGCGCTGCACCGTCTCTGTTCCGTGCCCCCAGCTCCTTTTCTTTGGAGAAGCCTCGCGGCTTGTTCCGCGCTTTTTCAGTGCTCGGGCAATGGCTGCGATGCCCGTATCGGGGACGCTCTCAGCAGCAGGGCCGTGCCGGCGGATCAGAGGCGGAGGTTCCGCGCCTGGCCGAGGGGCAGGGCCCGTATCTGCGGACCCGCGGTTCGTAGCCTCCCTTTTTTTCGGGCAAGCGTTCCCTGCAGAGCATCCATAGGAAGCAGTGCTGAATGAGCGCGGGGAGCCTGGCCGGGGCGGGACGCCGATCCCGCGGGGCTCCGCGCAGGGTCCCCACGGCGTGTCTCTGGCAGCAAATTAAACAACGAAAACGGAAACCTCGGGTGCAGAGGGACCGCGCTGGTCCGCGGAGAGCGGCGGGGACCTGTTGCTGATCTTCCCAGGAGAGGGGTGGATCTCCTGGCCGCCTCGGGCCGGGAGGTAGGGGGCGGCCCTCCAGGGCCCTTCACCGCTGCAGCCGTTACCGGAGCCGAGTGGCGGGGCCCCGAAAGCTGCTGAGGCGGGCCTGGCGCGACCCGCAGGCCCCGCTAGCGTCGGCCTCGGAGAGCTCCTGCCTGGTTCTCCCCCTGCCCCGGCTGCCGGGAGCGGGAAGGTGGGCAGGGGATCGATACCCGGCAGTCTGGGCAGCCCCCCCAGCCAGGTCCGACTATCTGACCGCCTCTGTCGTGCCCAGTCTCTCCAGAGCTGAAAGAGCGCAAGGACGATGCGAAAGCGATGGACGAGGAAGGGCAGACGAAAATCAAGCAGAGGAGGAGCCGAACGAATTTCACCCTGGAGCAGCTGAACGAGCTGGAAAGGCTTTTCGACGAGACCCACTACCCGGACGCCTTCATGCGGGAGGAGCTGAGCCAGAGGCTGGGGCTCTCCGAGGCCAGGGTGCAGGTAGCCTGTGCGGGGTGGGCTCGGTGCTCGGTATAGCTGGCCGGGGCCCTGTCCCTGCCGCTCCCGACACTGCTGTCAGGGTGGCGTGGAGCTCCCCGCACCCAGCAAATCCCTAAAATTGCCTCCCGACGTGTCTTTCGGTTCGGTCCCCTGTCAGCTCCCCGTTCGCATTCACCCCCGGCAGCTGCGGTGACTGTGCCCTGGCGTGGGCTCCAGCGGCCACATCAATTAACTTTATAGGTGTAGTGACCGTAAACTAAATTAGAAGCTGCTAAGTGCCCCCAAAATTTACAATCGGATTCTTTTCCTAGCTGTTAAATCTCGGGGGAAGAGGCGCGAACGCTGAGCGAAGGGCATAGACCGGCTTTGTTCGGATTTCTGAACTACAACACTCTGGAGCAAACCCAGGCTGCTCTGAGCGCTCTCTCACACGGAGAAGCCGCAGCTTCCTCTAATTTAACCTCGGTCTGTCCGCCCAAAGTTTTCCCAAATCGGTTCCTGGGATGGTTTCTGCGAGTTTGATAGGGATGAGATGGAGAGTGAGGGAGAGTCCGGGCTTTGCCCGGCTGGGGATGAAGGTGGCTTCTCTATGGGAAAAAAAATGTAGCTGCTCTGGTGAGTTTCCGTTGGAGTAATAAAGGAGAAGAAAATGACAGTCGTTGTTTGAGCACGTGGAGCAGCTTTAGGCCCCCAACATCTGCAGCTGCTCGGAAATCTGGCTGTAAGAGATACTACCAGTACCACCATACCGCACACCCCCCCGTTTCGGTGCACCCGCCATGAGGTAGGGATGGGGCAGGAGCTGTCACGTTGGACTGGAAAAAGAATAATGGGCAGCTTCGGGCAGCGCAGCCTGATCCAGACAGGAAAAAATAAAATATATAAAGCCTTCGTCTTCCAGCTTTCCCCGTTTCTCCGGCTGTTTATGCCCAGGAAATGTTTTAACAAACCCAAAGTTGCTGGGCTTCAACTTGGCCGTGAGAAACGGTGGAGGGCGGCGCTGCCTTCCGCGGGCTCTGCGCTCCACAAAGGCGGTGGAGGATGGTCATAATCCGCGCTGTAACCCCACTCCCTTTAAATCCTTCCGGAAAACGCTTTGCAATAATATTTTTTCCTTCGCCTACGCAATGATTTTTAAATCGCGAAACGGGAGAGGGCGAGAGCAGAGGCCGTGCAGGTTTGCTGGAGGAGGAAATCACGTTTATATTCGTTTCTTCAAGGAAAACCTCAAAAAGAGACATTTTGTTTATTTTATTTTTATTTTTGGCCGCTGGGAGGGGGTTGCCTGGTTGGGGTGGCGTCTGAGATGCGGTTCCTTAAAGTACGAATGCTTTCTGTCGTGCTCTCCCGCTTTCCCTCCCTCTCCTGTTTTCCCTAAGCGAGCAGAACTTGGTTCTAGGAATTTATTTGAACGATTCCTTTTCCAGTATTGAGAGTATTTTATCTGACGTGCAGCTTTTTCTGTGGCAGCAAATTAGATTATCATGATAATGAGAGAATTATTCCGCTTCTGTGCTACACTCCGCTGCACAGAGGAACGGGGGGGGGGGGGGGGGGAATGAAAAGAAAAATAAAAGAGGGGAGGAAAAAGGGGACGAATAAAAACAGAGAAAAAAGAAAGCCGAAACTTCTTTGTAGTGAAGCTTTTATGACAGTATTACTCCTCCTCCCCCTGAAATCCCCCAAAATAATAACTAAAAAAAAACCCCGAGTTATGAAACTCCTTGATGTTTACTTTTTCTTGTAGATAAAGCTAATTAATTTATTTATTAATGAGCACAAGGCCGGATGGTGCAAACATCCAAGCCCCTTATCACCAGCCAGTATTCGGTGCCGGGAGGGTGTTCAGGTCTTTCAGGCTCTCAGTGTGGATGGGGAAGCCCTCGGCTCAGCCCCTCGCTCCTGCGGGGGGAGAGCTCCACTACATTTTAACTTTGGGGTTTGGGGTTTTTTCCTTTTTCATTTTTTTTTAATATTCTATTTTTATTTCCCCCCCTTTTGCCTTTCGGAGCTTGTGTCCCGCGGGCTGCCCGGGGGGGGGGGGGGGGGCTGGAGCCCAGTCCGTGCTGTAGCCGGTTTCTTTGTCTGTCGGGTTTGCTATTATTGTTATTATCCGCGGGTTTATTTTTATTCCCTGAGGCCGTGACCCCCCTGTGTCCCCCTCGCCCTGTCCCTGCAGGTCTGGTTCCAGAACCGAAGAGCCAAATGCCGAAAGCAAGAAAACCAACTGCACAAAGGTACTGGGAATGATGGGGGGGGGGGGGGGGGGTGCTGTGTTGACATGTGTGGCTCTCCCGCGCTGACCGCTTCCCGCTGCCTCTCGCAGGGGTGCTGATCGGCGCCGCCACGCAGTTCGAAGCCTGCCGGGTGGCTCCCTACGTGAACGTGGGAGCGCTACGGATGCCCTTCCAGCAGGCAAGTGGGGCGGGCTGGTTGGGGGGAGGGAGGGGACGGGACACGACACACGCGAGTCCCGCTGGTCTCCGGTGGGTGCGGGACACACGCGAGCCCCGCCGCCACGTGCCGCCCGTCTGTATCCCCCCCGCCCCCCTTCCCGCAGGTGCAGGCGCAGCTGCAGCTGGACAGCGCCGTGGCCCACGCGCACCACCACCTCCACCCGCACCTGGCCCACGCACCCTACATGATGTTCCCCGCGCCCCCCTTCGGGCTGCCGCTGGCCACCCTGGCAGAGTCCGCGTCCGCCGCATCCGTGGTGGCCGCCGCTGCCGCCGCCAAGACCACCAGCAAGAACTCCAGTATCGCCGACCTCCGCCTCAAGGCCAAGAAGCACGCCGCCGCCCTGGGGCTGTGACAGCACCACAAAATACATGGGGAGGGGGGAGGGGAAAAAACCCCAAACCCTCCCAAAAGCACCCCAAAACCCGACCCACCAAACCGGGAGAAGCAAGGGAGCGCAGAGACAGACGGGCGACGTACACTTATTTAAGGAATTCGAGGAGCTGGACGAGCAGCTGGGGAGTTCACAGGTTTCAAACTGACCTTTTTCTGCGAAGTTCACTTTAATACAAGAAATTTGATAAGAGAGGCGGGCCTCCCTTCACGGTGTATCAGACACTTCAGTCTAACAACCATGTCTGGAGTAGCAGCAAGAAGAAGAGAGAGAAATGATGAAGAGGGAAAAAAAAATGAAGAAGGAAAATAATAATTAAAGAACAATGACTTCTCTGCGAATTTCTAATGGGAAACTGTCCGGGATACTTCCTCCATCAGCAGCATTCCGGTTGCATGTATTTGTATTTCATTGATGGAGTCCTTTGATTCACTTGCACTTCACCCTCATCTTTAGTAGAAAAAAAAAAAAAAAAGAAAAAAAAAAGAAAGAAAGAAAAGAAAAACCAAACGGACGTGGCTGGGTTCTGTCCCTTTTCATCTCATAGGGAAGCAGACAGAGAGGGAGATCAAGTACTACCTTTTCTACTCTTAAATCCTTGCTGGTCCTTTGCTGTCCCACCTCTGAAATAAAAGGGGACGGGAAGCACTGGGAGAATGGAGCATGGATCTTTTCGCCAGATCTCTCGTCCTGGGGGCAGAAAAGTAAAGGAAAAAAAGAAAGACAAAATACATTTAAAAAATAGAGGAAAAGGAAATTAAAAACAAAAGAGAGAGAGAGAGAAGAGGGGGGGACAAAAAGAAGGAAAAGAGAGAAAAATTAAAAAAAAAAAAGGAAAATGAAAAAAAGAGAAAAAAATATTAAAAGAGTATTTAATTCCCAACCACCACTTTACACCACGGCAAATTCCAATAAAAGGTACTGGGTACATGTAAAATATGTTGATACACACAAACAAAGTTTATTTTGGCTATAACTTGTGAATTGATAGTTGACTGTCAGACATTTACATTTTATCTCATAAAGGTGTATCTATTCACGTAACCTTGTGATTTTTGTTTATTATTATTAAGATTGTTATTATTTCGAAGAAGTGTTGCTATTTAACCTGGGCACCCTGCGATCTGTGGTGGTCACCCCGGTTTGCCATCGGACCATCATTGACAAGGCAGAGGGAAAGCTCTTCTACGCGAACTTTGGTCTGGACGGGCTTTGTATCTATTTGTTCTCCATGAAAACAAAATTATTTATATTGACCATATTTTTTCTAGTGTATTTTAAGTTATTTTAAAAAGAAAAAAAAAAAGAGAAAACAAGATGCTGTTATTTCATTACATCTGTTGTCAGTACAATATATTTTGTTTCGCTCAGGTTGGCTTCACCTTTTCTAATCCATTTTCGACGTCACGAATTTCGATAAGTGCCAAGTAAATGAATTTGAGACAGTTTGCGACAGATTGACTGAAAAGGGGTAACGTTTCAGTGGACGGTTTCCCGCCACTTCTGGTACTGTTAATATTAAATCATCGGTGATATTCTTTCTCTTCCGTGTTTACACCTTCTGTAGAGAATCTCACGTTTCTTTCTGCTCCTCTGATATCGCGACATAGCGATAGAGCCCAGCACTGCGGGGGAGCACCGCTTGCCTCCGCTCTCCTTTCGTTACCGCTTTTTGTGAGTTTTCCTTAGTTTCGGCTTCACAAAACGCAGCGGTTTGGTTTGGCTTTCTGTTGAAGAGAAACAGACCGGTGGAAGCTCTATAGCAATTGTGTCTTTGCGAGTTCTGTCAAGTTCCCTCAGGTAATAAAATCGAGGAAAGTGTTGTGGCTCAACACGTCTTCCCAGGGCTGGACAGGGGCAACGAGCGCCCCGCTCCCCTCCTCGCCGCGCCCAGGACCATCCCTTCTGCGTGCCTTCCGAGGAGGGCTCCGTGAGGAGAGGCCGCCAGCCGCGGGGGTGCTGGGGGGTAGCGCCCGCAGTGGGGGTCTCTATGAAGAGAAGGCGCCCGTCCCAGTGCCCCTGCTCTCAGCCCCGGAGGCCGGGCAGCTCCTCTGGGAAGGGGCCCGCCTCGGCGCGGCGATGGGAAGAAGCCGGACGCTGCGCAGGAGAGCGGGAGGGATGAGGCGCAGTCCCCGAACTCCCCGAGCCTCTCGCTGGGGAAGCGGTGGGCTCCGGCTCCTGTGGGCTCGGACGCCGCCAGGCTGCGCGCAGCGGTGAGAGGCGGCGGGGTCCCGGGAGGGCCGAACGGTCGCGGGCAGGTAGCGGAGGCGGCTGGCCAGCGGGAGCGAGTGGGACAGGACGGGCTGGGGCGGAGGACAGGGACCTTCTCCCCCGCAGGAAGAAGCCCTCCCGGGGAGGGCTGCAAGGAGCAAAATCAGCTCCGACATTTATATGCTAATAACGGGAGGGAAATGATAGATTTTATGTTAGGTAAAACAGCTTTATTCAAGCAAAAGTAAGATACTGCTAATTATAAAGTCAATGAAACTCACGGTGGTGTCGATTGATCCCCGAATAAAGAAGTTAATTAATATGTGCACGAGCAGCTAATATTGCAGCCTGGTCACTGCTGCCCTACAGTTCACCTCCCAAGCAGAGCCTCGAGTCTACTCCAAATAACTTGTCACATCATACCTGCTCTGTTTAAAATACAACTAGTTTAAATACAGTTGCCTAACAGCCTTGTGCAGGTTATTGATGTATGTAATGTAAACTGTGATGGATACATACAATGTGAATTTCCGATCTTTACAATATGCTCAGATATTGGCATGCCTGTCTTCAAGATGATTGTAATAAAAACCATGAAAAATGTGCTTTCATCATAACAGGGAAAGAGGATTGGGTGGTGTAGGAGAGCTGTGTATTTTTTAGAGCAGCTGTGATTAAAATAAAATAGTCTTAACGGGATATTTTTGGACAGGAATACTTACATTCCTGGTTCCTTGGACTGGAATACCTAATAAGTCTATAGGCTGACAGAAGTTGGCCAGAACTCTTCTGTTCCTATTTTACTTCTCAGAGTGTCTGAACCTATGTAAAAATCTGTAAATTCCCTGAAATTTAATTGTGGGTGTTTCATGAGCCAACCGGTGCACATACAATACATGCTTTCTGTAGGTAAAATTTTAGCATGGGGTTTACACAGACATGTATTGGCCTGAGAGGGGGATTTGGAGAAGAGATCAAATAAATCATGTAGGAAGGAGTAAACACCTGTTTCTATCCTCGTAGAGCTGATTGCATGTTCGTGGCAGGACCTTACACAGATTGTTTCTCGGTGAAGCAGCAGTTTCCACATTTGGTTCGCTCTCTGCAGCAGCATGATGTTAGGTGAGCAGCAAAGTGCAATGGCAGCCAGATGTCTCACAGAAAACTCCAGACACTGCTATATGAACTCCTACCATAGATTTCAACTCTCCATATATGAACACCTAAAAGGAGAAAGAATAAAAACACTGGATTTGCCCAGTGCATAAAAGTGCATGAAAATGTGCTAGATACTATGTCTAAAATTGGTAGGTCTCATATTGTTCATTAACAGCTCACCTTTTATTCCAGGCAGAGCTTTTAACCAGCACACTTGAACTTGCCTTTCAGAAAAGCAGCATCTGAAGAGCGCTTGAGCCTCTGTGGCATCCAGCCGATGGTTCTGCGCAACAGCAGTCTGCCCGTATGGGTACAGCAGTCCTTCAAGAGAACTGCGGCTGAGTACTCAAGGAATAAATAATGTGCTTTGTGTAACAGTACACACTGTGCTAACTGCTGCCCAGTAAATATTGATACTTGTCCAATTTTGTGGCTGTTCCCATTTAATTCGCCCTTGGATTTTCAGTTTCTTACAATTTCTGAGCTTGTTCAGCCTTACCATGAAGTAAAAGTGAAAAATGCACCTAAAGGTCAGTGACTACATAGATTTAAAGAAATAAAAGCAGCAGATTGGTATCACCCTTGTGTTTCTGAGATAAGCCACAAAGTTTTGACAGGAACTGGAAAACCTGTGCTCATTTTTATCCCTTCCTGTATTTAAGCTGCTACAGCCACGGGTTCTGATGGGATCTAGCAAGTGTTCTCAGAAACACAGGTTGTCACTACTCACACTTTACATAAGCAGCCAGATTTCTCTCCGGATGTTCTTTAGGCAATTAAGTTAGTGTGAATGAAGAAAACTCTCAGTATTTTCTACACCATGAATCTTGCTAGTCCCATTGCAGAGAATGACTTTTAGGATGCATTTATGCTGTTTTGCCAGTTTTTACAATTTTCTGACTGGGCAAAAGCTAAAATTCAAATGGAAAGAACAGCAGAACCCTCAATGCCTGTTGTCTTTCCTGTCGGTGTGATAACAGTGTACCTCCTTTTGATAAAGGAAAGTAACAAGCAGCACAAACCCAACACTTCCCCAATCTGAGTTTGATACTTGTTTTCCCCTGGCAGATGCCTGTAAAGGCCTCCAGTGTATGTTTTCTCCTGCTTGCAGGCAACTTGCCTGCCGTGAGAGGACGGCTGCAAGCACAGGGTGCTCCTGCCTGCAGGATGTGTCAGGATCTGCTGTATCATTTGTGTGTAATGTCTCATGATTTGCACATACTGACGCTCTGCCGACATATGGCTCTTGTTTTGTGCTGTGGAAGGCAGCCTCTTTTTCAGCAATAATATTTTGAACTCATATGAGAGACTGGGCTTAACTTTTCCTAGAAAAGGAAGGTAAGCTAAAAGAATAAAAAAGGAAAAAGCTGCTGCTTTGCTCCAGTGGCTAATGCTGCATAACCAGCCTAATTCTGCACTCTCAGAACTAGGTGATTTGTACTCTCATGTCCCTTTTTCTGTCACAATGGCCCCAGATTGCTAGCTTTTTCTGTAAGATAATGGAAAAAAATATGTATGCAAAGGATATTTGCAAGCCTATCTACTTACCCCTCCTCTTCTCTGTGGTAAACTTTTTAATACTGCAGCTATGAAAGATGTTTGAGAACATTTTCCTGCATAACAAAGGTTTTATGGCCTGCGCACATCAGACATGCTGCTCATAAAAACTGATCTGATACCATCAGTCTCCTTTTATACAGGTAAAAATCACCCAGGAAGAACTGAGGGAGAATTTTGAAATGGGGAGATACAAAGTGCACTCACCATGGGCCAGTGCTCTGAGCAAGAGGCAGTGTGACCTAGGCAGCAGCAGCAGCTACGGCCATCCTGTAGGTTATAAATCCATGACTGATAAAACACAGTGCCAGAGTAGCCTAATCTTTTATGAACATCTTCCTCAAGTTAATTTAGAGAAGAAAGATAATGGCTTTAATAATGCCTTAAGAAAGTGCAGCTGCGTCTCCTTTCAGGCTGACATTCCACATGTTACAGGCTAATATTGACCATGGTGCTTCATGCTTGGGTTTTCTTCCAGGATCCTGAAAGTGCATCTGCAGGCCCCTAACGGTTTGTGCAGCCGCGTGGCTGCAGGCTCTATCAGCAGTGCCTGCGCTTCCTTCTTTTGCTGCCTGGCCTGATGCCTGTGTTCTGCTCCTTGAAAATGACACCCTGGGTTTTGTGTCTTCTGGGAGAGGAAGCAAGTGGATACAAGCTGTTCAACAGTCGTTTCTGTCCTGTTCAGAAGCTGGTCAGCATCTGTTTACATCCAAACCTCAGTGTTTTGAATG